AGCTACATTGCAAACACACCTCTACGAAAAGAAAGGACTTAGTAACATGATTATTGTCAAATGCTGCAAACTTTTTCTTTTCTTAGCGTGTTTTGGAGTGAACGTTTCGCGTGTTTAAAACTTGGTACTGTTAATGCGTAGTGGTGAGAAGCTTGACACATTCCCCAGCTAGTTGTCTATTATTAAGACGCGGGGAATGATGGGAAGGACGAAAAGAAGGGAAAGGGAGAGAGACTGGGCCCTCTCTCTTTCCCATCATCCCCTGCGTCTACGAGATTACTGGAAAGGAGTTAGAGTTCAAGTTGAAGGTAATCTGGTGTAGAACTAATAAAAAGTTTACCTTGATCTGATGCGGTTTCCATTCTTTTGCCTAGGCTGAGTGGATTCCAACAAACAAGCACAAGTTGAGTTCAGTGTCGCACCGCAGTGAAATAAGCAGCAACAGGACACGCGAATCTATTGTCATGCTGAACTGCGAGGGAGGAAGTACAGTTACGCTAACTAACATGTCACGGTAATTCACTGGACCCCGAGCCACGCTCACGCAGTCAGGCTTACTTCTTTTGCTAGCAGCAGATTTTAAGTGTAAATCGAATCATTTGTAAAAAGTGATGGAAACAACTAATGGAAACAAATACTCATTGATCTGTTGGGCTTTTAAAATTACCGTGTCACCGTAATTAACTGGACTACGAGGAAGGGAACCAACGTCACGCTAACATTTACTGGACCGCCACGAAGGAAGTAAGGTCACGCTTACTAACATGTCACGGTAATTTACTGGACTGGAAGGATCACTGATATGTCACGGTAATTGTTTGGACTGTGAGAAAGAAAGTACGGTCGCGTTGACTAGCGTGTCACGGCAATTCTACGGCTCGTTTCTCAAACTATGGCCTGCCATGTACTACACAAGCAAGCGATTTTGATGATACATGTGGGTCGTAGTCTGTTTAGTTACCTGCAGGGAAGAGGGAGTGGAAAAAATTACCAACCGAGAAGTAACAACTCTAACACAGGGTTGTCAGTTTCAATAAGAGATACAGTTTTGTTTCAAGTGTTTCGGAAGAAAACCGAAACAGGACTGTTAGCTTACTCTTGCCATGAGGGAATGAAGAGTAAGAGAGTTTTAAATCCCGTTATTGGCCGTAATATTCCCAAAGTAATTCGTCTCAAGTTATTTTTAGAGATGGTAACCAGTTCTGCCGCGGATGTCGACTCGCACGTTGCGTAGATGTTTTCATTGCGGATGAAAATAAGGCAGACCACGTGAGTAATCGCGTCATAGGATTGCCCATTTCTAGATTCTCCTGGAATTTCTGAAGCCGACATTAAGAGGCCGTTGTGGGGGTTAACTCTATCCTCTCTTTCCTTTGTCTTTTGCTGTATAGTAGTGACAGTAGCTAATGCTCGAAATGATTAATCTAATGAACGAACGAAGTTGATGCAAGTCTTACTGGAAGCTATTTAAATTTTATCTAATATCCGAGGCCAAAGCGGCTTCCGATGCCAGAGTCTCCGTCTGATGACGAGGCCAAATGAAATTCTGTGGTTTCAATTTCACCTGCGGTTGACAGAAATTTTAAGGATATTTGAAGTTTACAAAGAAATGCTTGATAACATAGCAGAGCCATCCTGCTGAGATTATGAGATGTACGAAATGTCATTCTAATGAAGTGGGATACTTCTCGACTACTCTGCTTATGATGTATAATGAGGACTAATGAAGATGTATAATGAAGTCCGCTTAACTGTAATTTTCAAATGCTCAAATATTTGAATAGGAAGCGTGACATTTTTACGTGGTTTTTAATACATTTAAAATAAAAAAAAGGAAGTTTGTATAATCTGTACAAGACTTACTTGATATTAATAAAAGATTTCATTTTCTTTCTAAAATAATTATATGATGTGCAGTTCTCAACTCCCGTTTCGGTGCTGACGGTTCATCAGCACCTCCATACAGCTTGACTCCGCTTTCCATACATACAGCTGTATGCGTAGCAAAGCATCTCCGAGCGCGCTGTTACAGTGTTACCCCTGGAAGTGATGCTTATTTCCATCGCAGTTTCAGGTTGTCTATGCGACGATCCATTTTCATTAAATGAGGTGTAACTCTCGAAGCTTTCCATACTAACTATATTCCACAAATTTGATTGTCCTGATAGTCATCACATGAATACACACCAAAAACGTTCTGACTTTCAAATGTTTTCTCTGTTAAAATTAAAATTTCCCAGCCTCAATGAAGCAAACTTTGAAATAACAGCTGCCTTCTCACTTTCTCATTGGATCATTCACACACAGAACAGCGCAGAAACAACAAAATATATTTTCTAGCGTAGAGAGTTCTCCATTATCAGGAGTGATTTAGCAAAGCTACCTATATTAAAATAACTTATTAACCTATAGCCTTGTGAACTAAAATACAGATTCCATAGATGAGTAAAATACGATCTACCCTTTATATCTGTTATAAGCAGGAGCCATAATCGGGGACGGAGACCGTAAGCGCGCGCCATTTCTAGTATTAGGGTTGTCCCCATG